GAAGGAGGAGGGCCGCTGCCCTGCCGAGGGCGCTAGAGCGATCCAGGGACTTCTGATCTGCCTCTGACAAATTAGGAATGCCATGCACATGCTGAGGAGAACGCAAAGCGCGGGGCAAGCGAGACCAGAGAGGGGCCCTCCGAGCACGCGAAAAACCCTCACACGGTGTGGCACAGAAGAAGGCCATCACCTGGCCACTGTTGATCCAGCCGATGAGAAGGGCGAGCACGTCACCCTGAAGCAGGTCGAACTCTTCGCCTTGGCTCAGGTCGATGGTGACAGCAGCGTGACCTCGCCTTCTCACCGCTTTGGCCAGACCGACCTGGCCGCCGAAGATGTCTAATACAACTGGGAAGCCTGGGATGCGGCAGCGGGCCAGTGCTTCCAAAAGAGCGCCGTGAAGGCGTTGGCAGCGCCACGATAGCTTGCTGTCACGGCGTGGCGCGCAGCAGCTGGGAGTGCGTGTAGCTGGCGAGCCAGACGGGAGTGCTTCTCGCACCTCAGGACCGAGTTGGAGGACCGCCAGAGCCCTCTTGCTGTGACATCGTGGGCAGACCTGCTGTTGGACGCCCGATCGTGAGAGGCTCCCCCATGACGCAGGCTGTACAGAGTAGGGCGCAGGCTGCCCACGTTGACGGCGATGGCGGCTGCCTGGAAGCGAGACCGAGCCTCCATGTGAGAGATCGGGAACATCAAGCCGCTGTCCCGGACCCGGTGCTTGACTGCCAAGAGGAGGGGCACCAAGAACTGCTGACGAGGCAGGTCCAGGACAATGCTGACGTCGAAGAGGCCTGTCTTGGTGGGGGTCTCCTGCTCGGACGGACGGACCAGGAACGAGAGGTGATGAGCTGATCCTGATCCGCCTGGCAGCCCTGGCAGCACCTGATACCCGAGCAGCGCAAGCCCCTCGCTGGGGCGCCAGTAGGTCTCGAAGGACACCCAGACGAAGAGAGCCATAAGAAGGTCGCCCTCTGCGGCGAGCCGCGCGGCAATGGCCGTCACGCACTCGATGGGCAAGGGCGGCCGGGAGGCTGGAGGCTGTAGGACCCGCCAGCCCGCCAGGGCAGCGGACGCGCAAGGCAGCACCCTGGCTGTGGGGCGGCCGACGTGCGGGTTGGCTCACAGCACCGCGGACACCGTCTTGACGGCCATGCTGAGGGTCATGCTGCGGTCCAACTGGTCCTCTAAGAAGTCGACCAGGATGGCGCCCCACTGCTCGCCGTTCAGCTTTGGAAAAGGGGCCACGTTGAGCCACATGGCCAGCGCCACCAGCAACTGAGAATAGGCCAGCCGTGTCTTGGTCTGCACGCGCTTGGCCTGCAGCGGGGTCAGCCAGGGAGCCAGCTCCCTGATCTCGGCCGAGACCCGGGGGGGCCTGCATGGCCCACGCTTCCGCTTGGCCGAAGGTGCGTGCGTGGGGCGCCTGATCACAGGCGCCGTCGGGGTCGTGCTCGAGGAGAGCCCCGATGTCGCCGCCAAGACCCGGCGGCTGAGCACACGGTGCGAGGCGTAGCCCATGTCTGCCTTCTCCTTTCATGCTGGCCAGAATGCCCTTCCTGATGTTGAGCCAAAAGACTGCGTGCACGTGATGGTTGAAAATGACGTGAGGGATGATCAGCAGGGTTCCATTCTGAAGGTAACCAACGGCGATGCATCGTCATGTTTCCAGCAAGGCAGTAGGCAGCATTGGCGCGGCAGCAGATGTTCATGTCATAGTTCGTGGTTCTCCCCTTGGCGAAGCTCAGGATGGACCCCAGGTTATCCCCCATGACGAGATGATGGTGACCCTGGGACCCTCCACGACGTGAGAGAGACTTAACGACAAAGGTCGAGGTGTTGCTCTCGAGAAGGGAGATGTGACCATGCCTTTTCCATCTTTTTGCTGCGACCACCTTCCACCGAGTGCTGACCAGCAGGGCGTGTGGGATATCCTCGAAGCCCTCGCTGGAGGCCTCGAGCGAGCCTAGGGCCCGCTCACGATGCTTACCCCGCACAGCCCAGGGCCCCTTGAGTCTCGAGCGCTCACTCCAAGCTCCGAGCTCGCGCACGACGTCTAGGGCCCAAGAGGCCGACGTCACACCAAAGCCCCACGGCGACGCATCGTAGCAGTGGACCTCGGTGCGCCAGGGGAGCTGGATGTCCACCTCCACCAGCGGCAGGAGCGCCAGCACCCAACGGAGCTCGCGAACCACTGAGGCCCACAGGGGCTGACGACGAAGGTAGCTGCCCTTGATGAAGGAGTACGTGGCGTTGAAGATGCTGAGCAGCTCGCGCTTCAGCGTGAAAATGTGAATGAGGTGTCCGAGGATGTGCTCAAGGTCCCTGCCACAGACCAGAGGGCTGGTGTTGAGCAGATGCCGAAGCCCCAGCACAGCTCGCCAACACTTCTTCGGGGTGGGCCTCCACCGCGAATGGTGCACCAACTCAAATCCGATGAACGTTGGTGTGTCGGACGCCGGGCCCAGAGAGGAGACCACCCCGACATGCGCCAGTGCAGCCTTCATGCTGTCCACCTGCTCCTGGGCCAGACCAGCATCGGTAGCGAAACAGGCGAAATTGTCGATGTAGAGAGCGTTGCCACCCTTGTGGATGCCAAAGTTTGCCGACTTCATCTTGTCGACGACCCAGGGCAACTGCACAGGGAGGTTGCCGAAGTGGTGGAGGTGAACGCGCTGGATCAGGCATGTGGCCCAGCTCCACCCCATGGGAACGACTCGCACGCGACGCTGCACGAGATGGTGCCCTGACACGTTCAGACGCTGCTGCCAAGCTTTGTCCAGAAAGCGGGCCTCGACGGGCATGAGTCCGAACAAGTGGCGGAAGGCCTCGGGGAGGGCACATTGGTAGAAACAACATTCCACGTCACCTCCCGCCATGTGTAACTGACTGTCGGGTGGGATACTCATGGCCGCCAGTGACTCTCCAGAAGGCAAGGAACATGTCAATGGAGTGTGGCACCAGCAGTTGGCACGTCTGGCGTCGAAGATCAAGCGTAGGTCACCCGACTTTTTCAACGCAAAGAAGATCCCGACCTCCTCGGAACTGGGGCCGACCTCGATGACGTTGGCACCTAGGAGGCTGGAAAGAAAGAAACCGTAGTCACGACCCTGCTGGCGAAGCGTGGGATCGCACGCAACCTTGGCTGGAGCATCGCATAGCAGAAGATTACGCTGAGCATCGGGACGCAAAATTTGCTCAGGAGTGTCCAACATGCGCTGCAGGTCGGGGTCCGCCACGGAGCGCAGGTCGACGCGCCCGCCCCCGAGCTGCGGCAGCGCAACAGCGCCGCGTCGGAATCTGCCAAAGGTACCGGCGGCTGCGTCATCAGAGTAGCCGCTGTCGCCACCGCGGAGCATCTGGCATGCTCCCGCGGGTGTGAGATCTTCTGGAGGAGGGCGTTGCGTGGCACGAGCATACTGACGCGCAAGATGCTGGATGGCAGACCGCTGGGCCGCCGAACATCTCGCTGCCGTGGAATGTGCCCGCCCTGAGCCCAACTCACCAAGGGCAGCGAGACCTTGCCGAAGCCAAGCTTCCTGCGAGCGTTTG